ACATATTTAGAATCAAAATAAATATACAAACGTAACCTTATATACTTTCTCTCAACTATCTTGCAATGTAAAGTATCTTAAATTTTAAAATACTTTATTATTTTTATTTTATGTGTATTGCCTGCATGTAGGTAGGTATACCCTTGCCATACTATGCCCCCAGAGGTCAGAAAAGGGTGTCAAATTCCCCTGGAACTGGAGTTACAGATGGTTGTTAGCCTCCATGTGAATGCTGGGAACCAAATCTGGGTCCTCTGCAAAAGCAGCCAATGTTCTTAACCACTGAGCCATCTCTCCAGCACCCGTACCTTAAATTCTACTGTTATAACATATTTAAGGACTCAGAAAAGCATCTAGAATGTAATGAACAGCAGTACTTTCACATCTCATCTGCGTCAAATCTGAACTCTAAATGTACTTAATGCAGATGAAGTCTAACTTGTGACCCATTTTCTCCTTCCTTTTTTTCTAATCCCCTACTTTCCATATTTGCCTCCATCCCTAAACAGTGCATCATCTTGCAGTTTTAAGCAATACATAAGGTATCCGTACTGCTTGTATCACTCTACAAATTATGACTCAATGTACTTTTTCACTCAAATGAGATTTATTCACGTTTGTCATTTAACTCTTTCAGTTATTATAACTGTCATGTAGTATGCCATGAAGTATGTCATATAGTATGTCTGAAAAATGATAATGGTTTGTCTATGAAATAATCACAATGAATGCTCAGTGCTACTGCTGCATTTTTCACAAATACTATGGATTTTATCCAAGTTATAAATTTTGTAGCACAAAATTATACTACAACTTCTATGACAGTGCTTCAATGTACATATTTTGGAGCCTTTATCCAATACTTACACAATCTAATATTCTTAAGAATCTGATCATGTCATTTCTTTTATGTGCTAACTTTCCCCAGGCTGTTTACTATTATTTTCTTTTTAAAATATCTTATTTATGGGAGCTGGAGAGATGGCTCAGTGGTTAAGAACACTGGTTGTTCTTGCAGAAGACCCGGGTTTGAATCACAGCACCCACATGGCAGCTAACAACTGTCCGTAACTCCAGTCCCAGGGGATCTGACGGCCTCTTCTGGCCTCCATGGGCATTGCACGGCACGGGTGCACTTACCTACATGCAGGCAACACACGCATACACATAAAACAACAATAATAAATAAAAAATATTTAAAACCCTTTTCACAAATGTCTTTCCCTCTGTTTTAGCCTTGTCTCAAATTCAGGGTGTGAG